GGATGCTGATACATGAAACACAGGAGGCTGCTGGAGTGCAGCAATTGCCATGCTCCAGCAGACTTGATAAATTGAGTCTTCTCTGAGATGCTGGAATTCCAGCATGTCGCAGAAGCCTTGCTGCTCATGTATAGGCACCCTGGGGTACTAAATTAATGTGCATTAGGCTGTGCTAATACACAGTAGTGCAGTTGCACACTTTTTTATTAACGCATAATGTGCAGTAGACTATGTTACTGCATATTAGTGTAATATCACGAGTTTTTACATGACACTAATGCACAGTAAAATAGCCTACATTAAAGCACAGGTGTAGGAATACCCAGTGCGAAGGTTTTCCTGATGCAGGTGGGCTCTAATAAAGCCCTGGATTTGATAATCCCTGAGCAGTCTGGGTATGAGTTCTCTATTTTTGTGCAGAAGGACTGGGGACTTACAGAGAAAAAAATGCCAAAAAGAATGGTCCTCCTTCCCTGGGACTTAGCTTGCCAACAGTGGAAAGCTCTGAGGCCTGCTAAAACCTTACAGCTTCATAGAGGGACCATTAGGGTCCTACTACGCCAGATGTTAAGCTCTTGGGCTTCAGTACTTAGCAGGATCAGGCTGTATGATTCTAAAAAGCCAAGAGTTTTCACACAAATGCCATCAGCCATGAGGAGTATCGACTAGCTGGAATTTTGAACTATTCCCTGTGCTTGCGTGTAGTCTGGGCATGACCTCCTGTATCCCCATGATATTTAATATATCCAAGAGTTTCCTAATATAGTTACCAATCAAGGGGTTTGTAGGCCAAAGGAAGAGAGGCTGCTACACCACTTAAAGGACTCAGGCCAAGTCCTGTTGATGGCAAACTCCTCTTGACTTCACTGGGAGCAATGGTGAACAGCCAACAAGACAGACAGATTATTGACCCTCAAGGAAATGTGTTTATTACTAAATCTGAGAAGAAGGTGGCAATCACAGCTGAGACACTGAGAGCCAGAAAATATGGGCTCAAGCCTGTGCTCTGTCCCAGATCCCTATGTGGTGCTGATGAAGTCATCTTCTGGAATGAATGAAATCTTTGCCTTGCTGGTGTCAATGGCAAAATTCCCATTTACCCAAATGGATCTCCCTGTAAATAGGAACAATGTCTTGTCTATTTAATTAGAGGCTGTCTCTTAATCCTTGAGGCTGGGGCCATTTCTTGGAAGTTGCCATGTACAGCATCTAGCATAGTAAGGTCTGATCTAAATGGAGGTCCCTGGGTATTGCTATTATACTGCTGCTAATGGTTATTTTTGTGCTGATTTCATTTGCCATGGCTTTTACCTGCCTGCCCAGATCACCAAGGCCTCTGCTATTGCAGGCACCATGGCATAGAATCCTATTCATCCACTGCCCCAGCTCCTTGTTAAAAGCAGGTAGGTTGTTTGCCTCCACTAATGTGTTTGTCTTATTGCCAGCACTCATCTACCCAAGAACCATATTAATGTAACTATTACTATTGTGTGTACCTGCAGGCAAAGCCACATGGTCTAATTGCTTTACATTGATATTGTTCTTGAAAGCTGCCAGAAGTGGCTGTGACATGACTCTTCAGACAGGCCCCGCTGCCTGCTTCCCAAGCAAACACAGCTCAGCAGGACTCTACTTCAGAGAGCTGTATAGCTGTATGGCACTCCCTATATAGCACATCTCTCCTTCCCCCAGCTGTTGCAGTGGATCCTCAGACAGCCTCCAATCCTGAGTCTGACAGCCTGGGATGTAAATCCACAGCGATCCCACCTAAGCTCTTAGGTCTGATTCTGCAGCATGGGTACTGTAGTGATCATGTCATCCTCTGCACCTCAGCCAACTAGGCACAGTGCTGCTGTCTGATCAGGCTGCATCTGATGGCTGCTCTACCCTTGTTGTGCCACATTCTTCCTGTCTTGAAGGTATGACTCCACTAGAGCCAGGGCCCTGCTTCTGAGCCATGGTGCAGCTGCTTTGTGGCAACCTTCTGGCATTTTTGCCAGCTGTCAGAGGATCCCCCCAGCGTGAGGGATCCTTCGCTGAGGTCTACCACCTGCTGTTCATCTCCCCCCTGAACAGGGTGTGTTGGAGTAGTCACAAAGGGAGGCAGCGTGGCAAGAGCAATGGGTTCCCCAGAATGGCTGCTCAGGGTCTAGGAACCAGATGCAAGTTAGTGTCGTTGTTCCCTGTCCTCTCAACAAGGGCAGGCAGAAAGGTGACATAAAACCACCTTTGCTGTTCTTGTCACAGACCCCCTGGACCTGTGTTAAGGAAGGTGAGTTTGAGCCCAATGGTGCTGTGCTAAAGCAAAATACCAAACATGCAAGCAGGATCGGGTCTGCCCTCCAGAGAGGTGACTGACCATGGTCTCTTCCAGGCAGCAGGGCAGCAGGCCAAGGCCAGAGCTCAACAGATCCGATCAGGCTCATCTTCTCCAGCTGGATTGAACTGCCATGGGCATCTCTGGCACAGTCCAAGGCAACTGCCGTTGTGATGAGTTCCCTCCTTGTCAGAAAGCTTTGTCAGCTCTTCTGGTCAGACTCAGTCTTTCACCAGCACACCAGGCCTAATCTTGACAGAAACCTTTGTGAATGGCTGTAACAGAAATTAAAAAAATATGTAACCACAGCTGCACAGATAAGACCCTGTGAGGGTGACGTGGCAGTCCAGACACAGGCCCATGGCTTCTGTTACCTTTCCAGTACAGCAGTCAAAAGAAAGACCCTCTCACATGCTAGAGGGCACTCAAAGTCATGTTTCATAGGATACCTTAACTCTGCAGTGTTGAAGAGGACAGGAAGCATGCATCATGGGGGCATCCATTGTATCATGACCATGGCTCCAACATGTGATAACCAGCCACCTCAGGGGCCTTCACTCCATTACTGTAAGTACTCTATCCCCAGGATGTGGGCATCTAATGACATGGAGATAAAATTGGCCAATGACATGGAAACTTAGGGCAAGTGCTAAGAGGTGTCAAGCATCCTTAGCATTCCCAGAAACAAGCCCTTCCACAGAACAGAAAATGCTAGCTTTCGGTGTACTGCTGGTTTAATCAGGGATTTGCAAAATGATTGTGTGCCTGTTTTGTATAACCTTTAAAAAGTATGCTCCATACAGGGCTAAGAGGAGATATTTTAGCTCCTTCAGCCACTACAGAATGAGCAGGTTGTGATGGCTGAGGTAACCTGACCTGGTTTTCTTAGACTATCACTATGGGTCAGAGTTAAGGGGATTTAGGTGCTTTGTCTGGAACTGCAAAAGTAATTCAGGATTCGCCTGGGTGTTCCCAGCACTGCAAGTATGGGTCAGTTCTACCTTGCCACCAGGTCTTAGCTACCAGGCTTGAGACTGATTTATGGATTTGAAAGAGGAGCCAAGCTCTAACTTAAAATGGAAACTGGGTTTCAGCCTCAGGACCTAGTCTTGCAAACAGTTATACACAAAAACACATGTGCTTCACTTCTCTGTCAGGAATATATAGTTGTGGTAGTGAAATGATGCATGTGCCTACACATTTGCAGAACTGGTATCACCTCTCTCGGGGCCTTATCCTGACAGGAGCCAAACTCAGTGGAAGTTGAGGCAAATGGGGGTTTGTCCACTAACTTCACTGAGAGAAAAGGATAAATCCTTAAAGTACAGTGTGTAGGGAGCTGTGTTCCCTTTCTCTGTACCTCATGCAGCCACTTGTACCTGTGCCAAGGAAGCATAAAATGCTCTCAGATGAGAAAAGCTACCCAGGGCATGTGGGTCAGTGTGAGGCAATACAGTCTGGCCCCTACTTGTTCTGTAGTCCCATTGGGATGGAAGAGGTTTCAGATCCTCAGAGGCTGAAGCCTGGTTTCTTTGACATTGTTAACTTGTATCCAACTGTTTAAAAGGAAGGGCAAGACCAGGTTAGTCAGGGTTTATAGTTATATGGAATTCTTGGAGGAGATGACCTAGGCCAGAGGTTGGCAATTTTTAAGACTAGTGGGTCACTAGCACCCGTCTCCGCAGAGCCCCATCCCTGTCTGATCTGTGCCAAGGGCTGCTGTCACATGCCTCTACCGCAGTCTCTGTTTACCGTCGCCCCCTAGTGCTACCAATTCCTATTGCCAATGGCAATGGTGAGCACCAAATTCTTCTGGGGTAAGCAGGGTGAGAGAGTAGACCACAGGACCAAAGCAGGAAGCACTCCAGTGGCAGCAGATGACTTGGATGCTGCAGAGCGGATTGGTGGCACATGGCAGAGGAATGCACAATTCAAGGCAAAGAAAGTTCCCCTGCCACCGCATGCCATCAATTTTCTACCGCCGCTGCCCGACCACTGTGGGCCAGATCCAATCTCTCTACAGGCCAAATCCAGCGTCTGGGTCATAGGTTGCCGACTGCTGGGGTAAGCAGACATGAGACTTCCATTACAAACCAGGCTCTGGTCTCGTGTACTCATTGACTAATCCAGAGTGAAGTCAGTCTGGATTTATGCTGGTGGAATGAGGAGCCTAAATTTACCCCACGCTACACTATGTAGGTTGCAAAAAAGGAGAAGTATCATTTCCATCCTACACCGACTCGCAGAGGTAGCATTCCACTGAAGAGGAAAGGTCAGGAACGGTCCTCATTTCATCTCCTACATTTCACTCACACAGTCAGACTTTGACAGGTTTACAAGGCTCTGAGAGGATGCATATTTCAACTGAGAAGCAGAAACCTGTTTTGCAAGATGCTTTTGTTGAATCTTAATGCCTCAGAGCTTGGCAGCACTTTAAGGAAGTCCTGTGAATGCAGTTCCTAACTAATGTATTAGCTAATAGGACCCATAACCTCCTCGCAAGTTAGGTACTGTATTTTTTTTAATGCAAGTTAAACTGCAAGGTCAGATGACTGTCTTTAACCTCTGGAGTGGTAATTGAAACACCAGCATCCTGCACACGGGGGAAAGAAAATGAAGACGACACCAAAATCATTCAAAAACAGGATTTTTTTTTTTTCACATTCACCAATTTTCAAAAACTACAAAAAACCCCAAGGATGTAACAATGTAACAGTGAAAAAAAATGTTGCTGCATACAAAAACAGAGCCACACTTTTGTGTCTTTTTAGTTTGCTTTTTGCTTCTTTCCCTACAATGTGAAACAAAACAGCCCCCAGTTCATTAAACAGGATAGCTCAGACACACAGGGGAAAAAAAGCCATAAAGAACATGCTTTTCCATTTACAAAACTCTTCGTCTACAAAAGGGTCTGAGCTTGAGGTCCGGAATAGAAATCGACTGGCACATTTCATCAGCATGCAGCCTCTGCTTGGAAACTCACTGAGCACCTCGCTTTCCCTGCCCCCACAAACATTTTATTTATTTTTCTTACACAACACATTTCGCTTTTTGTTTGGTTACGTTTGTTTAAAAAAAAAATAAAAGCCCTAAAAAACAGGTAGCAGTATCCAAGGTAACAGCATAAAAGACTCCAGATTTTCACAATTTTATCTTTTTGCAAGTTTCATGCAAAACTTAAAAAACATTTCTGCATGCAACATTAGAACGATGCTTTTATTTTTGTGCTTTGTACAAAGCCAGGGAGGTGTCTCTGTCCCTCTCACCAGCGCATTCACCAAAGCACAGAACTGTTTTGTCCTTGTGCACTCATACATTAAAACAAGTCCACGTTCTGCACACCCCTAACTCCCCCCCCCCCAATGTATGGGACTCCACATCTTGACCAGAATCACATACAGTACTCATGCCCACAAACTCACAGCATCCTCTCAATAAAGCCCCATGATGGCAGCTCCCACATCCTTGGAGGGTCTGCGGTCCTTCACCAAAAAGTTAATCATGCTCTCTGACTTGATGAGCAAGTTGCAGCCCAGAAAGAAGATCCCGAACACCACAGTCAAGGAGAGGACACAGAGCACTGCAATCTGCACCACCCGTGTGATATAGAGGTTCCTCTCATCAGGCAGCAGGACTGAAGATCCCCCATCACTTGCCACCAGAGACCCGGTCCCATTGCAGCAGCCCATCAGAGTTCCCAGATCCTGGGTCCGGTTGGTATAAACCCCTTGCTCTACAACGGTCTGGTTGAAAAAAGTCCCATTCATGGTATTGTTTTAATCCAGCCTTTCCAACAAAGAGAGGAGGACAGAGAAATGACCCCCTGTGCCGATGAGCAGTTGAGGGCAGGGGAGTGGGATCCTTGCCGCCTTGCTTTCCTCGCCAGAGTGTCAGGTGCTGGAACAAACTTCCTCGAGGCTGTAAGCAACTACGAAGCCAATGTGTTCAGCTGAGGGAGGTCTCACTCATCGACTCATCACACAGTCATTATAAACACAACCCCCCTAACAGTGCAGAGCAAGGAGGAAAGGAATGCACCGAGGGAGAAATTGATACCCTCACACAGAAGAGCCCCAGTCCCCTCACTGCCGCCCCCAAATCCTTGACATCCCAGAGCTCTGGGAGGGTGAAGCAGAGGCACATTCCCTTTGGTGAAATGCACAGGAGGAAGATGCTGAATCCTGCAAGCTGGGAGCTCAACAAATGCAAGTTCCAATCTAAAGTCTAGGCAGCGTTAAAAAAAAGGCATATCTCAGCAACTCCACCCCCTGCCAGCCCCCCCAGGACCGCCCTCCTCCCCCA